TGTTTGTCTTGGAAATTTCCAAAATTGCTCATCTAATTGATAACTAGTTAAATTCCTCTAAGTGCATCATATTTCAAGAAAATAGATATAAGCCCATTTTAGGAAAAAACATTTAAAGAACATACCAGTTTCACTGGTGGTTTATTCCCGAAGTTTTTGCACAAGAAAAGTTTTTAGCCATTCTTTATGGCTGCTACAGGTCTTTGTAGAAATTTCTTCTTTTGGGAGAAGATCTTTTACTAGACCAACTATTAAAATAAAAACGGAACTTTATCATCCTGACTATATTCTTGAATAGATAATAAACACGTTGCTTGTGAACATTTAAGGAAACGTTATTTTTTTTTTTAAGGTTTATTTGACAGAGGGAGCATGTGTGTGCGTGCGCATGCACAAGTAGAGGGGGAGGGTCAGAGGGAGAGCACCTTCAAGCGGACTCCCCAGTGAGCGCAGAGCCTGATGTAAGGCTCGATTCCAGGACCCTGAGATCATAACCTGAGCCGAAATCAAGAGTCTGATGCTCAACCGACTGAGCCACCCAGGCACCCCAGGCATTTCCTTTGTAGGGGAGCAAGAATTCCTGTCCCTTCACGGGTCTTTCTAGCTGGACTAAGAATCACATTGACATGAGACAGATTAACAGAAGAAAATCAAATTTAATAGCACGTGTCTGGGGGAATCCACACAGACGTGGAAATTCCAATGACAGGCAAAATGAAGTAAGTGTATGTGCCCTTCTGAACTAAGGTGAAGGGGCCAGGGGTCTGGGACTTCCAGGAAAGGAATGCACTTCCCAGGACGTGAGAAGTGCAGATGTTTAGTGATGAGATGGTTGCCCTGCCATACAGATGGGTCACTCCGATAAAATTTATCTCAACAGATAAGCCTTGTTCTGGGAAAGACCCCCCCCCCCACCACCACCGTGAATTCTTTTGTGTAGTTAATGGAGGGGCAGAAGTTTCTCTGGAGGCCTCAGGGTCTCGATTGCCTTCAGCTCAAAATAATCCACATGCCAAAGTGGCCCATTTTGGGGTGGCCTGCCCTCACCCCTACGGTTTCTCCTCTGAAACTTCCCTGCGGTTTCACACATTAAAAGTTGAGCTGGGGGAGGGGGCGCCTGGGTGGCTCAGTCGGTTAAGCATCCAACTCTTGATCTCAGCTCAGTTCCTGATTTCAGGGTCATGAGTTCAAGCCCTCTGCTGGGCTCCATGCTGGACATGAAACCTACTTAAAAAAATGTTGAGCTGGTAGGATGTTTTATCTCATTGAACCAGTCTAGTCTCTTAGTCCTGACAGTAGGTCAGTTGGGACAAACTCATTTCAGGAGGTGGTGATGCAAGTGTCTTCTCAAAGTTAGGCCTATGGTAGTCAGGCTGCTGGGAACTCAAAGCAAGGTACCAGGCTGCTATTTCCAGGGGAGCTTTATTGGCTCCATAAAGCCAACGTTCATTCCCTAAAGCTGTCTGGTCACAGAATCTGAGTCTATGCATGTCTCTCTCAAATATGACATTCCAGTCCAAACTTTGGTAATACAACCAATGTTTCCAGTGGTGTCCTGTCATAAAGAGAACAGATTCTTACTGAACTTATGCAAATAGATGGCCATGAACATGTAAGAATACTCACTAAGTTTCTGAATTCTGGGGGTTCAGATAAGGAGAAAAGATAAAGGTTTCAATTTGTTCAAAAAGATGTATTTTATCAAATTATAATAAGTCAGTTTAAGAGAAAGTGTTTTCTTAAATCTGGAAAAAACAAAACGTTTTCAAAAAGTTAACAGTGTTCCAAACAAAAAGTCATAAAAAGTGTCATTATCTTCCTCAACTTATTCAGTTCCACGTTATTAATTCTTCTTCTTGAATCCAGTTCTTCTACTAGTTCCAGAAATTTTTACCTAGTTCAGTTTTATGATCTGAACTGTACTCAGTTTTTTCCACGAGTCTCATTGAAGATGCAGCACTTTTGCAGGAAACTTTTTAGAGGCATCTGAGTAAAAAAGTATAACTGTCTGTAAATGATAAAAAAATTAAAAATGGCCATGGTTGAAGATCTGGTTAGAGTTCATTACAATGCAGTTGACAGGGAAATTTGGTTGTTTTTGTGACATATGCTTCAGGATAATAACATACCAGGGCATCATATTTCTAGGAGTTTCATGTAATTTTTAGAACACTTAATTTTAATAACATATCTACGTAAGTATAATGCAGGAGGGTTGAAAGAAAACCTTTTGTTTACAATTTCTTATGGAGAGCAGACCAATAGTTCAAGAGAACTTGGTACTTTTAACAACAACAACAAAAAAGTTGCACCAGGGTAGTTTTGATATTAAAACTCATTTACTTATTTAAATTTACCTTCACCTCAGCCAGTACTGACCACACATAAAGTTCTTTCTGAAGACTGTTTCTCCATAAACCTTCTAGAAGTTTTTTTTACATTCAGATTTTGTCCTAAATTTTCCCTCTTTAGATAACCAGTCCCACTTGAGGACAAAATTATCTTCTTTTTCTCCAACAAATATGTATTTTCATTCCTCATATTTTTTCTTATGAAAAGCACATCCCATTTTCCTCACATACCAAGTTGTTTCCCTTGTTGTTTCCAGTGATCTTAACTATATTTGTTAGAATTCTTAATGCTTAGAAACCTTAATTTCTAGTGGAAACAAGGTAGTAAGCAATTGTGAACTGTCACGCCAGAATTCATTAGATTGGCAGATATATATTTTATATGAATGTGGTTTTTTCCCATAGTACAGTCTTTCGGTAAAGCATAAAGTATGATTATTAACAGACCCAAATTTATCCTTAGTTTCTGCATTGGGAAGACAGTAGATAAGCCATGTTCATTACTTAATGTTTCCTTATTTTTATCTTACTGGAAATGATCTAGACAACCAGTGAATTTAACTCATTAACTTAGCAAGACTTTAAAGTCTTTAGGTTGCCAAAGATTTTGGAAGCTATTTAAAAGTTAACCTACAAACCTTTTTATTTTATTTATATCTATTTAATTTACTTGTTCTTAACAGTTATACCCATAAAATTTGATGAGGCATCAAAGTCAGCCGTTAGTCTAAGTTTCTTGTTCTTCTGGAAGATTTTGCAATGGAGATACCATGAACTTATTTGACTTTTAGTAAACAAGTAGAATAAACGTTTTATATTTAATGCTGATAACTCTAAACACATGTCTGCAACCTTAAGTTAGTTTTAATACCAAATATTGCCCCAGATCACTTGAACTTGAAAAACATTTGGGTTAGTTTCTATCTTTCTGAGCTTTAGGATGGCCAGTCCTTACAAGTGCATGCCTTCAAATCAACTAGCTCTTTTATAAATTAATTTTAGCAATACCATCCAGAGGTAGAGAAAATGTCTCACATTTACAATATACATACATGGACACTCAAAAAAGTAGACAAGATACAAACAAAATCTTAATTTTCTTTCTACCAGTATTTGTGGAGAGGACATTACAGGCCCAGTTTCTTTTTTTCTTCAGTGTCAGGGGATTGTATTTACATTTCAAAGATGATAAGATTTATAATTTCAAGGGACAGAGAAAGAATGTAAAAAAATTTTTTTCTAGACTTTGAGGGTAATTGCTATTGAAAATTTACTTTTTTTTTTAAGGTATAGAACAATTGTGTTGCAATATCTTGATCTTTTATAATATGTACAAACATTTTGAGAGGAATAGTTGAGGCTTGGAGATTGGTAAAGACTGGTGAGCTTTAACTTGTTTCTAGAGTTGCAGTTCTGGTTTTGTAGAGGTTTGTAAAAGAAAGTTGTTCCTAATTCCCCAAAGACTTGGATTACAGCCTGAATATCAAGGGATTGGCCCATATTTTTAACTAAATTTGCTACTCTATATCAGGAAGAATTTTAACTAAAATGGGAACCAAGAGATTTATGACTTTGTAAGGTATGTATAGAGCATTTTAACAAAAGCCTTTTTTTCTGAGTACCAGATTTACCCTTGGCTTCGATTACTCCCTGAACATTGGCCTTTTGCAGATCATTTGTATAAGGCCTAGGAGAAATTTTGGTCATCTATTTCCTCAGTGAAGGCAAAGTTGTAGATACAGTCAAGTAATCTAATTACTCCCTAAATTAGGTAGGGTCTTTTGAAAGTAGAGGTAAAAGGATTTTAGAATTTAAAAGATCTGCAGCTGTCCAGGGGATGCGAATTCTTTCACAGCGGGATAGTCTGGGATACAGCTGCAGAGGGCACCGTACAGGAATGCCCAAGGCAGGCAGAACGTGATCCCGGAGCCCAGGAGCGTAGGAGCTAGGCCAGCCGTATTGCTAGTCTCAGGTGCTTTTAGATTTATTTTCTGGCTGTCAGCTCTTACATGAGCACCCTAGATACCTAGAGCCTAGAGATTAGGCCGGAGTGATCTCTGTAAATCAGAGGGAAGTTAGAACAGGCAGGTGAGCCTGGATTTTAAGAAGGGGAATTTACTTTGGGTGTGGACATTTATTTTTAAGTCTTAGGGCTAATTTCTGTTCTTTTGTCAGGGGAGTCCCTGAGGCTAGCCATTACACTAATAACACAACTGAGCTCTCTCTCTCTCTCTTTAATATAGCCAGTTTAAAGGATCCATTGTATGGCCGTTGGTGAGTAGAATCTATTAGTAGCAACTCAAAGTAAGCCTTTTAGTGGCTTAACCAAAGATGCAAGAGGCTTCCAGAGAAGGGCATAGATGATGCAGACCCCATGATCCAAAAGTTTACTCCCGAAACTAGTATAAGAAAGTTTAAAGGCACGGGCAGTAAGGATGGTGTCTCCCGTATCCCAGGAGAATGTGAGATGCTTCCAGCCACAGGTCTACTAATCTAACACCAGGCAGGTGCTTCTGGAATGGGACTCAAGCAGTGAAAGCTGAGATGACAAAAGTTCCTCTGGGCTGGGACCTCTCGTGACAGACACCCCTGAGAGCTCGCCCAGCTGGACAGAGAGAGGCTCGGATCCCCAGTCTATTCGGCTGGCCACCAAGGTGCACCCTCTGGATGGTGGAGACCAAAGAGAATATTCCCATTGGTCATAAAGCCAAGCTCTTGGGACATGGAACAAGATGAAAGGAAAACTCCAACGGCTTTATGTAAGCCTTGGGTCTGTGGGAGCCACACTAATACATGGGAGGGATGTGCTGTGGGGTTGGGGACTGTGTCTTGTCTTGTCTTGTCTTGTCTTGTCTTAGAGTATACACCTCATTGCACAGTTTTCTTGAGGTTGGCAGGTGACCTAGTGTCAGTCTACCCTGTTCTGGGACCAACCTCTCCTATCACGGGAGTTCTCTTGAGGTGGCCAGTGCCCTAGCAGCTTTTAAGTGCTCGACTCCTGCCCACCAGTTTTGTGGCTTTGGCTTCCAAGATGTCCGGTAGCAACAGATGACAAACAATAGAAGAGACACAAAGGAGAACAAAGACCATCCCTGGGAGGAAATGGATCAGTAACCAGATGTAACCAGAGTCACTAAAGCCCAAGGAACTAGTTCCATAAACATTTTCTCCTGCTAATCTGAGTTTAGAAAGTAAGAAGAGGACTCTGACCATCTTCTCCATTGACTCTGCAGGTAGAGGTTCCGGGAGGCTGACATGGTAAGAAATCTCACCTTCTGTGGCTGCTGGTCCGATGTCCCAGGGTCTGCCAGCTGCCCTTGTGTCCGGGGCAAGCGGGGGCCGGCGAGTTAAAGTATTCTGCCCAACTATGCCAAACTGTCCAGGAGCAAGAATTCCTGTCCTTCTAGCTGGACTAAGAATCAAATTAACATGAGACAGATTAACAGCAGAAAATGAAATTTAATAGCATACGCACAGGGAATCCACACAGGCAAAATGAGGTATATATGTAGCTGAGGTACAGGGGTGCAAGAGCACCTGGCTCCGGGGGTCCCAGACGGACTGGTTTTGGCCATTCGCCACTGACAAAATCCACAGGCAGAGAAAGGAGCCGTGGTCAAAACAAGAAAGGAATTGATTTCATTGAGACCACCCACCGGGAAATCAGCACCCTAGCATCTCAAAGACTGTCTCCAGAGTGCTGAAAGTACTTCCAGGTCTATACCAGGACAATGTGGGGCAAAGGTGGGCGGGTACGTCGCATGTTGGGGTCAGGCATGTGGAATCTTGCTGGCTCAAGGCAAACCTTATTGCTTAAGGGGGTAGTTTTGGTTCTCATCACGCTTTGCCCACAGGGACTTTTTTTTTTTTTTTTTTTTTTTTTGCCTGAGTTAAAAGATAAGCTGGACAAAAGAACTTAATCAGAAAGTTTGAGGTCAGAATGCAGGTGGTTGAAGTCCTCCTTCAAATAGGAGGTTCTGCACTAAGACAGGGCCGGGGTCTGGGGCCTCAGAGGAAAGGAGTGAATTTCCCAGGGCAGTGAGAAGAGCAGATAACTGCTAATTAGATGGTGGCCCTGCCCTACAGCTGGGTCATCAGATACGGTTTATCTCAGCGAATAACCCTTATTCTGGGGAAGACCCCCAACGTGGATTCTTCTGTGTAGTTGAGGGAAGGGCGGATGTTTCTCTTGAGCTGCAGGGTCTCATTGCCTTCCGCTGAGAATAATCTTCCTACTAATGTGGTCCATCTTGGGGGTGGCCTGCCCTTGGCCCCTACACCTTCTTTGGAAATTTTAAGAGCAACATACCCAAAATGTGATAATCAATCCATGTCCTCTGGTAAAGAGTTTTTTTAATGTGTGTGGCCGTCTGGGACCTCAACCCGGCCCTAAATTAACAGTTTTAGTAACGACACAGGGGAAGCTGTGCAAAGCATGCATAGCAGGCTTTCTGAGGACTCTCGGGCAGGAAAGGATAAGCAGTAGTTGGATATAGTTGGATGATGGCTTCAGAATTCAGAAAACTCAGTAGGTTGGGGCAATGGCTAAATCTAACAAGATGAAATTTTACAGGGATGATTTAAGATTCTCTGATGCAAAGTAACAACCGAAGTGCAGGCCAGGATTGAACTGAAATCACAGATTGTTATAAACCGAAAAGCATTTAAGTCTTAATCATTTAAAATAAGGACAAATACATCTGCATATATTAAGGGCGTAATAATGCTCTTAGAGTCTATTAAAGGAAGTTCTTTTTCTTCTGATGATCTTGATGGTTATGTAAAAATGAGATAGAGGAAAGCCTTAACTGTATACGATTTCACAAGTCAAATGAGCGTGCTTAAGTAAAACACGCTTGGCATTTGAGGGGTGTCTGGGTGGCTCAGTCGGTTAAGCGTCTGCCTTTGGCTCAGGTCATGATCCCAGGGTCCTGGGATCAAGCCCCGCCTTGGGCTCCCTGCTCCGCGGGCGTCTGCTCCTCCCTCTCCCTCTGACCCTCGCCCCCAATGCTTGCACGCATGTGCTCTCTCTCAAATGAATAAATAAAAACTCTTAAAAAAAGCAAGCTTGGCATGAACGAATTATATAGAAATATCACTTACATGTAAAATTTCGGTTCTCAAGGGTCACATTAATAAAGGATCTATCCATCTCTTGAAATTTTTTTAGTTTTTGAGTGTCTCTGTTTTTAAAGTGAGAGAGGGCTACATTGCTGAAGATTTACTGCTTTTCCCCAAGATTTAATTATGATTTATATAAAATCAGAAAAGCAGATGCTTAAGGATGGGGACTTGTCCTCTGCATTTTGACCCCCACATGAACTTTCTGCGGCCGGTTTTTTTTTGTCATTTGGAACTTTTTAATTCTCTTGTTCATTTTAGGTTCTAGTGTTTTGTTTTGCAAAATAGGAAACGCAGTAGTGTTACTATATCCAGTGTTTCTCTTTTATTTAAAATGTCTTCTTAATAAATTCTTTGGTTTGGGATTATTGGTTTGTATCAACTTGGGCTCTCTTGGTTGTGTGAGAGGATCTGAACTCACATTAGCTTAGGCACAAGAGGAGACCCGTTGGCTCTTGTGTCTGAGAGGAGGAGAGTAGCCTCAGGCTTGTCCCTCGCGTGACCCCCTCAGGACGTTCTTTTCTCTTTGTCATTCCACCCTGTACCTCAGCTAGTTAGCCACTGGCAGCATTTTCAGAGAAAATGACCGTTGCTTCCCAGCATCTCTCAATTTCTAGGAAAGAGTTCTGATCCCTGTTTGGGTTATATGCTTACCAATGGCTTGGAGTCAAGCCGGAAGTTTCCAGAAGGAAGGGATGTGGAGCAGACAACATAACAGATGTTTGCGACATGGTCAAGAAGCCTGAATATTTTGATACCCCTCTCTCCTCTCTCAAAAGGAAATACGTGTTAAGGATGGTGGGTTACGCACATACCAGTGGTATGGTGCCACAGGTCTATTCCAGTGCCTGGACCGTCGAGAGCTTTGGATCTGTAATGTTTATTTTACTGTAGCTAGATAATGGAACTTGTGTTTAAGATTGCTGTCTACTATCCCTTCACCTTCTTCTGTAAGACTTTCTGGTATTGCTGTTGAAGAGATTGTTGACAGTATGTGTTCAACATACAGTATCCCATCCCCTGCTGTCCAAGAACTGTGTAGAGATTTAGCTCCTGAAAATACTGGAGTCATTTCTTAGAGTGTAGCCAGCACTGGAGAAAGCAGCATCGAAAAATGGACCTTTTCTCAAAGGCCATATGAAGCATAGGGGGACTGATGGGCATTTGGGGTGGAGGCCAGCATCTCTGTATGCTGTCAGTGGTGGAGCGAGGGAGAAGTCAGATCCAGATACCAGAAAAGCAGGTAAAGAGAGACAGCGCCCCGAGGGTTTCCATTCTAGGGGCTCCCGGGCTACCTAAGCTTGGTAAGAGTGGTTGCTCAAATTTGTTTTCTGTTGACACGTTATGCTCATTTTGGGATGTGCTTTTTAACATTTTTTTGTTCTCTAAAATTTCTCTCAATCTAATTTTTAAGAAGCATCGCTAGGATTCTTTTTTCAGGTGGCTTAAATCAGTGTTTCCATAAACCTACAATGTTTATATATATTTTTCCATGGCTAAAGTTCAGGAATATTTAAACGTGGGAGTTTCCAGTTTTCGTTATTGACTTGTTCCGTCAAGTTGTACATTTGGTACACAAGAGGCTTTGGTATTCTGTGGTGGGGATTAGCTAGATTTAGCTGCATTAGAAAAACTTGTTAACCAGGATCCCTAAGGAACGATAACCAAACAGCCCGTTGTTGGTCCGGCTCTTGTGTGCGCACCGGGCCCTTCCCAGGAAGCCCGCGGTCCTGGGGGCCGTGCCTGGCCCAGGGGTCCTCTTCACCCTCCTCACGCATTCATCTGTATCTGCCCTCGATGCGGGGGGAATTGAGATTGGGGTGGCGTGGTTTTTAAAAAACACCCCACAACGTGACCAGCAGAATTCTGTCAACTTTTGCAGCAGTAGGAGAAAGAGCCGTCAGCAGTCTCGTCGTCCCGTGTACGGACCCCAGGAAAGCTGTCATGCTCACAGAGCTCTGCTCCGGCCGGCTCCGGCCACCCCCTTCCCAGCCTCTCAGGACAGAAGGCCAGGCGCTGATGCCGTTCTGTGACTGACAGACTGGACCGTATGTTTCTTTCTAACATTTTGTTATGAAAAAACCTCGAACATGTAGAAAACTCGAAATCATTTTCCATTGAACACTATCAACCTGTCTAAATTCTGTGAACAACATTTTACTCTACCGGCTTTGTTGCATATTCATCCCTCAGTCTAGCGTCGTCTTTTTTTTTTTTTAATGTATATCAAAATAAATTAGTATTTGGAGGGTTGTTGCTTTTTGTTTTAACCTTTTACCAGTAGCTGTGAATCCTTAATCCTTGTTCTGAGATTTCAGGCATCAGTAAGCCAGTGTGGGGAGAGTGCACTGGCAAGCAGTACGGCCTAGTGCAGTTCTGACCATATGGTGGGTGTTCAGTAAATATTTGTTAAATGAGTGCAGTTCCATTAGTCCTGTTTGACTAGCTCTGTACATATACTTGAACTTGCCACTTAGGACAGTTACTTTCCAAATAAATCGTCGGTTTCCTAGGTATATGTTATCTCCGGTGTATAAGATGGACCTTCTTTTATGAGATAGTCCATGAAAGACAATTATTTAGAATTTGAAATGGATTAAAAATATATATTAAGTACTATAAAATATATCCATATGATATCTACTTTTTACCACAGTGATCATCTTGGAATGTGCACATAGTGGTATTCCCAGGAATCCGTGTTTCTGGGTTGACGCACACTTCAAGCAGCCTCTTGAGGAAGAGGCTGAAGGAGCAGCCCCACCTCCCATCAACCAGAACAGCTTCCCGTTAGTCTGTTTTCCATGGAAATTGCAGGAAAAGTTAGAAAGTCACAGCTGTTTGGTCAGCTGACCAGTATACAGCACCCTGTGGAGGCCATCGTATGGTGGGTCGTATTCCAGGAGAAGAATGTAAGTTTATCTTGCTCCCTGGATCTTAAATTCTGAGTTTACTTGGCTAGGGGTACTGCATCATTAAAATTCATCCCAGTGGCCCTAGATAAAGAATAGTGAGCATGTTCACTGCCAGGGAATAATCTAAACATGTATGAATCTTACATGAGTGGACACATGTGTGCATCTGTATGTTCCTTTAGTCCCTGAGAGTGAGTGTGCCCAGAATGAACGATATCTCTGTTTTCACTTCTTACCTCTGTGAAGAGAGGGTGTTGGGGCACTTAGGTGGCGCAGTTGGTTGGGTGTCTGACTCTTTGGCTTGGGCTCAGGTCATGATCTCGGGGTCTTGAGATCCAGCCCTGTGTCGGGCTCTGCACTCAGTTCAGATCTGCTTGCGATTCTCTCTCCCTCTGCCCCCGCCAAATAAATAAATCTTTTAAAAAAAGAAAGAAACAAAGGGCATGCTTTTCTCCCCACCCCCCCCCCGCCCCCGATGAAGTAGGTGTGTTTTGAGAACATTTTGGGATCTGGTCTCTGGATGCAGTATGGGCAGCTACCAGAAACCCGCCCTGTTTCCAGAACAGAGCAGGGGCCCTCACCGTTGGTGTCCCCTTTCCTTACAATAGGGCCGACGGGTCATCTTGGTAACATGTCTTCCTTTATTTCAAAACAACCATAGCCACGGTCATGAGTGTTCATGCCAGCATGTTTACAAAGTGTATGACAAAGATTGGTGTTTTTTTTACTGTGAAGTTTACATTTGTAACTTCCTGTTTGTCTCTATTCCCAATAGGCTCGGGTTATGTATGATTTTGCTGCTGAGCCTGGCAATAACGAACTGACGGTTAATGAAGGAGAAATCATCACAATTACAAATCCGGTAAGAGGTTTTAAAATCTGATGGTCTCTTAAGGACAATAATTATTTTTAAGATTCTATTTTTTTAATAAGTTGATAATTCAAACCCACACAAATTTTTACCCTGTTGTTTATGAAGTATTGATGGTGAAGTAAGACTCTATATTTTCTAAACAGTGAATAAAAGTTAAGTCCCCTAAAGGTAGTTGGATGGGGTTCCATCAGACAGAAATGGACAAAGAGATGTCCCAGACAGATCCCAGCCAGATCCCAGGTGTAGAGATTAGAAAGCATTCAGTGTTTCTTGGAAGTCATAGCTGAGGCTGATGGACAGCCTGTGAGCCAGGTGTTTGGCTGAATACTGCACATGTATTCTTAACATATTTTCTCCATGAACTCTGTGAGCTAGGCACTTTTAATCTGTGTTTTACAAATGAGGGTGATGAGACATAGAGGGTAAGCAAACTTGCCCAAGATCGTTCTGTTTGTAAGTGGCAGAGCAAGGGTGCAAAACCACATCTGCTTGGCCTCTGAGCCTCTGCTTTTTCTCTCTGCTGGGAACACGACATGTAAACAAGGGTCCCAGGGGTACAGGGCACATATGTGCCAGTAGCAGACAGGCTAAGAAAACTGGCTCTTCAAGCCAAATCAGACAGGATCTGTGGGCCAGGATGTAGACTTTGGACTTCATTTGTAAGTAGTGGATTCATTTAAGGATTTTCTTGTTGATGTTGTTGTTAGGCAGGTGATGTGGTGAGACTTGCATTTCCAGGAAATTAATCTAGCACAGGTGTATCGAATGAACTGGCATGGCTGGAGCCTGGGGATGCGACTTCAGGTCGCATTGAATTGAAGAAAGCTGAACACAGGAGGCCTTGGTGCCAGATTAGATACTGTTGGAGAGAAAAGAGGCAAGGATCCCCGAGAGTTTTGGCTTTTGACCTGAGAGAATGGTGGATTTATTAAGTATGTGAGTCAGGGAGAAAAGCTTCTTTGGAAAGATTAAATGAGTTTATTGTTAGATATGTGGAGCTTGAAGAATAGTAAATAATTAACCCTTCCCTATAGCTTTGCCTCAGTTTAAAAATGGAAAGGCCGAGCTGGAGGTGAGAGCTGGGGGTAGGCCAGCTCTCGGGACACCTTTGAGAGTAGCATGTGAAGAAGGTGGCTGGGACAGCTGGAGATGTCCTCGCAAGGGAAGGAGGAGATGCAGGTGTTCCTCCAGGTGGGAGGGAGAGGGGCCTGGGACAGCGCAGAGACCAGGGAAGGAGAACGGGAATGACCAAGAGAGTATGGTGGCTTCTTAATACTGATAGTATTTTCAAAACCTGTTTTAATATGTTTTAGATACAAAAAAGAATGACTGGGTAGGAAAGGTATATATAGTTTTAGATAATATGCTAGGTGTATATAAGTAAATAGTTTCTATTTTTAATCAGTAGAGATACTAAAGATTCCTTATCTGATTTTTTTTAATGAAGAAATAGTCTTCATTTCCTGGTAAAATAGTATTTAAGGTGTTGTCATGCTCAGAAATGGACAAAGTTGTGGCTTAATGTGATTTTTATTTTTATCATTTGTTTATTTTAAAAAACAGTCAGTTAAGCACCCAACTCTTAGTAATAAGAGTAATAAATCTGTAAATAAATAGTAATAAATAAATCTGTTTTTTTAAATAAATAAAAATAAGCCATTTATTTAAATAAATGTAATAAGCCATTTATTTATTTAAATAAAATAAAATAGTAATAAAAATAGTAAATAAATAAATAATAAAAATAAAAGGAGAATGGGGAATGACCAAGAGAGAGGAGAGGCAGAGGGAGAGAGAACAGCCCCGACTCGGGGCTCCATCCCAGGACCTGGAGATCACGACCTGCGCCAAAGGCAGACGCCCAACCATCTGAGCCACCCAGGTGCCCCTTCAAGTGATTTTTAAAAGAGAGTGTAGTATTGGGGCGCCTGGGTGGCTCAGTCAGTTAAGCACCCGACTTTTAGTTTAGGCTCAGGTCATGATCTCGGGGTCATGGGATCAAGCCCCACGTCGGGCTCCAAGCTGAGTCTGCTTAACCTCTCTTCCTCTCCCTCTGCCCCTCCTCCCACATGCATGCTCGCTCTCTAAATACATAAATAATAAATAAAATCTTCCCCAAAAAATGTGTTTTCTAAATTCAGATAGGTATTAACTAATTGAGACATGATTTATGAACTTAAGACAACTCTTACTTTAAGGTGAAAAAGTAGGACTTTGTTGAGACAATAGATTGAAAAGTGGGAATTCTAGTATATTTTATAATTTAATTTAACATTGTTTATCCAGAAGAATGAAGGAACCATGGATCAGTTAGCTTTTCCTAGATAATAGGCAATCCCAAAGCTTAGTGGCTTAAACAAACAACCATTTACTGTCTTGCTCAGGAACCTCCAGGTTGGCTGGATGGTTCCACTGACCTGAGCTCCCTCACGTGCCTGCAGTCACCAGCTGGTGGGCAGCTGGGGGCTCAGTGCTTTAACACGTCGTCGTCATTCAGGTGTCCGGCGATTCCCCCGCTGAGGGTCGGCTGGCTTGGGGAGGGGCGTCCAGGAGACTGGGCTTTTTCTCTGTCATCTGGCAACCCAAGTTATTCACACAGCTCTTTTGGAAAAAGCGTGCAAAGCCTCTGGAGGCTAGACTCTGAACTCACTCTATATTGTTTCTACCTCACCTCATTCTGTTGGCCACAGAGGCCACAAAGGACAGCACAGATTCCAGAAATGGGGGTGTCATTCTACTTCTTGACAGTCGGGGCTGCATTTTTGTCATCTGCCCCCCCCCCCCCCAGTGAATAGAGAGGAATTACACATGAATGACATTGTAGCCTATTGAATGGGCTACTTTTCGGTCTTTGATCACTTGTTTGATTTTTCTTGTTTTTAGATGATATCATTTTCCAGAGTAAAGAGAAGCCTTAAGAATTTATAACTTTGAGGGCGCCTGGGTGGCTTAGTAGTCCCTTAAGCATCCAACTCTTGGTTTTGGCTCAGGTCATGATCTCAGTGTTGTGAGATCGAGCCCCGCGTCAGGCTCTGTGCTTACCCTCACTCGCTTGCACTCCCTCTCTCTCAAATAAACCTTTTAAAAAAATTTATAACTTTGGATGTAATATATGGTGATTAACATAACAATAAAAAAATTAAAAAAAAATTTATAACTTTGAACAGTGTTAGCTCTGTGGGAATAAAGAGCTTAACATTAATTATTTTTTCAGGTATAACAAAGCAAAATTTCTGTAGGAAATTCCAACTATAATGTCATATTGTTTTCTTTTCTCTCTTTTTTAAACTTTATTAGGATGTTGGTGGAGGATGGCTGGAAGGAAGAAACAGCAAAGGAGAACGGGGGCTTGTTCCCACAGACTATGTTGAAGTAAGAACTTACTGTCATCTAGTAATTTAACCTGGTCTTTGTCAGACATCTTTTTATGAATTACGGAAAGTAGCAACTTTATTTTTAATAAAAAAAATTTCCACTGTAAAAGTAATACCTGCTAATTATATAAAACGTGAAAAATACACTGAAGTAGAACTAAGAAAAAATGTTACCTAGAGACCCACGCTCCAAAGAGTGACTCCAGATATTTAAATTGAGTTCCTTCTTGGGAGAGCAACTTTTAATTATTCTGAATAAATGTCCCTATTTTTCCTTTGTTTATATTGTGTAATCGCTCTTGCCTGTAATACTGTTTATATTACAGAGTTCATTCACAAAGTTTAAAAAGATTTCTTTTTAAGGAGCTCTCTTTGCTCTCTGCCGGTTTAGGACCTATCCCTCAGCCCGTTCTCCCATTCCCATAAACAGAGGAGCGGCTCTTGGATGAGCTCCTGGGAGCTACTAACCTGGTTTAAGCTCTGTGCCCATGGATGGCAAGGATAGTGTTCCAGCCCCTGGAAGGAGCCTCCCAGCTGGGACACACCCACTCAGCTGACAAAGCCCCACTCTGAGCCAACCTCCTGGCGCCCCCTGCTGGTTGTCTGTAGGTCACTCAAACTTGAGATCTGGGTACTTGGTCAGCTTGCCTCTCCCCCCTCAGGTGACCAACTGAAACCAAGGTTGCCTGGTGCCCTGTGAGTAAAACGGGAGTGAGATCAAGAACAAGGGGCCTCTGGTTCCCCTCCAGCAGAGAGGAATGATGCCCCGGGGGGGGATGTTTACCTGGGTGCTGTCTCTCTGCCTGTTGTTCCTGATGGAGAGTTGGGGTGGGGAGTTTTGAACCCTCTGGAGAATCTGATGAATCTGTGGCTCCTCTCAGAAATCTGTGCATGTGCATGCACCCCAAGCTCGCCTGTGTAGTTCCAGAGGGCTCACAGGCCCCTGGACTCAGCCCACCTGTCTTAATGTTTGTGTCGTGCTTTACCTCTGTGCACCGTGCAGGCAGGATCCTAAAAATGGACAAGAAGGAGAACAATCTGGGGATTTAAGTTGGTGCTGGCATTGATTGCATTTTCTAGAACTCTGCATACTTCTGGAAAGGAATAGTTAATATAGATGTTCAAAGGCTACCCTACCTTTTAAGAATATAAGCCTCTTTTCCATAATAGATGACAATTTTTGCTTGCTTTTAGAGACTCTAACTCTGAACTACTCCTAATCTATGAAAAAACTGTGGTTCTTTCTATTATTCAGATTTTGCCCAATGATGGAAAAGACCCATTTTCTTGTGGAAATTCAGTGGCTGACCAGGCCTTCCTCGATTCTCTCTCAGCAAGTACGGCTCAGGCCAATTCGTCAGCTGCCATCAGTAACAACCAGGTGAGTCTTCCATCAACTGGCTGGACTGGGAGAGCAACGCCTCTGTGATGGCTCATGATGCGTTCTAGCGGTTGCCATTCCCTGAAAGCACAAAGTAGCTGTTAGATGTCTGTGTGGCATTTCTGTTGGGCATTAACAAAAACTTGCCTGTTAGACCAGCTGGAGACTGTTTTGTTTTTTTTATTTTTATTTTTTTCTAAAGATTTTATTTATTTGTCAGAGAGAGAGAGAGCCAGAGGCAGGCAGAGGGAGAAGCAGGCTCCCTGCTGAGCAAGGAGCCCGATGCGGGACTCGATCCCAGGACCCTGGGATCATGACCTGAGCCGAAGGCAGACGCTTAACCGACTGAGCCACCCAGGCGTCCCTGAAGACTGTTTTTAAAGTTGATTATAAGAGAGAATGCAGGGTGTTCGTTGAGAGTTGCTTCCAGAAGTCTGGCATGATACAAACACAGACCCTATAAGGGGCAGATATTCTCCCAAGTGGGGAAGGAAAGGCAGGGTCCCACGCTGGGGCGATGAGTGTCAGAGCTGCAGCCGAAGCAGGAAATGATTTCTCTGACCTTGGCATGTTTCTTACACTCTCGTCTTGCAGACGCAGTGCAGGTGAAAGTGGCCACAGATCCAGCGCTCAGTGCTCGCCACTGCTATTGCATTGTCTCTAGGAAACTTAAAGCCGTGGGGTGCATTGAGAAAAATACACTGAAATTTGACATTAATTTTAATGAAAATTTTGACCAGTTTAGGTGACTCTGCCTAGTTCAGTTATTGTTAAATGATTACCTTGGGTGAGCGGCAACAAGAAAAGTCAGAAGATGGAGATCAAAATGTTACCACTTCCTACATCCGTAGAAACAAATGGGCTTTAGGGCATGTTATTTTTTGATATTCTTTAACTACATAGAATGTTTTCAATTATGTGAAGCCTCATAGTCCTATCACTGTAAATATTTGCTTACAGAATATTTAAATCTTAACCTTACAAGAGGATTTATCTAAGTGCTATTATCATATGTTAACTGCAGATTTTATACATTTTGATTTATTTATTTTTTAAAGATTTTATTGATTTGAGAGAGAGAGAGAGTGAACAGGGGAGGAGCAGAAGGAGAGGGAAAAGCAGACTCCCCGCTGAGCAGGGAGTCCCGACTCGGGGACCCAATCTCAGTGTCCCAAAATCATGAGCTGAGCTGAAGCCAGACACACCTAATCAGCTGAGCCACCCGGGCACCCCGATTTTATACATTTTTAAATAGCTTTTGGTGGACATCCTGAATTACAAATTAGTCTGGCCCAAATATTTAAAATTCAGAGGCAAAAGTGGTCACCGTAGTTGAGCGTTTTCCTGCATTTTGTTACTGTAGAATACCGGAGAACATTGGTCAGTTAGACATTAACTCAGGATAAAACATGAAGAAACAGCAGTCAGGCCTCACTTGAAGTTGTACCAGGGATTCTCAGCATGAGCGCTGTGGACACTGGGGCCTGAGCTCCGCGTTGTGCGGTTTAGCAGCACCCCTCGCCTCTGCTCTTTGCCGGCCAGCAACATCGAGTTGCTCTCGGGTGTAACCACCAAAATTGTCTGCAGATGGTGCCACGTGCCCCTGGGGGCAAAGCCGGCTCAGCTGAGTTTACCAAGTTAAACAAAAACATCCCTGAAATAGGTTTGCATCGAGTAAAAGACGACATTTTAATAAAAGGGAATGATGCTGAGATGATTTAGAATAAGCAAAGGAAACAAAAGATGGAAAAATACTCATCCTATTTTAATTCAGGGACCTACTTCAGCCGCTGTCTCAGGATGGACTAAAGCACTCTGACCACAAATTCACCATCAGGCTCAAGTCTTATTCTGTTACGAAGTAGCTTCCTCGGTATTTAAATGTAGCAGTAGAAACTGAGTAGCATTAAGTCGAAATAAAACCAACTTTTTGAAGGTGGATTTTACTAATCCATTCTAACATTAAATCTAACCAGATCCTTTGAAAGCAAAGAAAAAGTGAACTGAAACTAGAAGTAACAAAATATAGAAAGCATGACCATAATTAACTAACTGAGCATTTGGATTTAATTTAAATGAAAAAAAAATTTTTTTTGAGAGAGAGAGAGTAGGTAGGGAGGGACAGAGCAGGAGGGGGACAGAGAATCCTGAGCAGGCTCCACGCCGAGCCTGGAGCCCTACGCGGGGCTCTGTCCCACAGCCCTGAGATCACGACATGAGCCAAAACCAAGAGTCAGATGCTCAACCAGCTGAGCCACCCAGGTGCCCCCTTCTCAAGTAAAAACATCTATGCTTTCAGTTATCTGGAATAGAAGAATTTAAATAGACCAGAATGGTGGTGCGTTTATAAATACCATGAAAAATGTCATGAATAAGAAACCAGGCAGCCATTTTTAATTGGTAGCTTTTAAAAACTTTTGCTGTCAGGTTTACTCATTCTTTCATTATCTAAATATCAATAGGAAAAAACTATTTTTGTTCCAGGGTTATGCCCCTTGGGATTTTCTCATTACTCCGGCAGTGTGTGCTCTCCCAGGGGTCAGTTTTATTTGGAGGAGCCAGCCCTGCCCTCTCCCCGGTCAGGCCATGCAGGGCGCACCCCCCCCTTTCCACCCTGCACACCCCTCCGGATCAGTCTGTGTTTGCTCTCCTCGGCACCAGTTATTTTAAATCTGGCTTTCTTCCCACACAGGCAAGGTGCAAATAGCCAATAAACATAGGAAAATACTCATTTTTAGAGTCCTCTATTAAAGGGTCAGAGAATTAAAATGTTTTAATACCGAGTATGAGGAAAGGCATGTTCAGACAGGCATGTTCTGATGCAAAGCTAGAGGAAGGATAAATTGATGAAGCATTTGGAAGGCAGTTTGATAACATGCATTACTATTTAAAATGCATGCAGTCTCTGACCCAGCAGTTTACTTGCAGAGCTGCTCTGGGAACACAGCCACGTGGGCAGAAGCTTCGCCGCGCATGGTTCCAGCAGCAGGAGGCTGGGACACATGCATCGGGCAGGAGGGGCCTGGCCAGGCCGACCCCAGGGCAGCCCCGCGGGGGGAAGCATGCTTCCGGTGGGAGCAGGAATGTAGATTTAGATGCACCGATGTGGACGTGTGATTGTTTTCAAAGGCCCATCAGTATGGGTAATGGTACCTTTCCCAGGCTCAAATACACATACACCATAGATGCAAATTGTGTAGAATATTTATCAAAGGATAACCCAGAAATGAATCAAATTCTCATTGTTTTCTTACTCAAATACAGATTTTTAAGTTGCATGAGGACCGCTATTGCAGTACCTTTAGAAAAGATGAATCATTTTTTAGTGGTTCACCTTAGTTTCACTATTAGTTCTCTATCTGGGATTTTACAGCTTCAAGGGCGATTCATATGGGTGGCAGTGCCACCAGCCTCATTCAGAGACCTGTGGACGGTTGCCCTCATCTTGATTTGCACCCAGTTATCAGTGTTTAAATGATACCATTGCCCCGATTCCGAAAAACTCCTCACAGTAGATCTTTACGCACCTCCCATATGGCTGCCTCTGTGGATTCCACGGTAATTAAAGGTTCTGTGAACCTAGATGTTTCATCTGAAGGTTTTTGAGAGATTTCTTTTTCTATCTTCGTTTAAATACTGGCAAGAACCACCTACCTGGGATGAACTGCTTCTCTGTTTCTCGCGCTGCATCCCAGTTCCCTGGGAGTCTCTGGTTTCCTGCTTCCCAGTTCCTCACCCACTGCTCTGGCCGCGCCCCCCCCCCCCCCGTCCCCCCTGCCTCTCCCCCCGCCGCCGCCCAGGCGGGACGGGGTCAAGGGCCACACCTGAGCCTGGCGGTCAGACCCGGTGTGACAAACCGGCGCCACTGTATGAGCTTCCGGAGTTGGAGGATCAGAGCCCTTGGAGGAAGTTACACATGGGAGACATTTCCTAAATACTCTTCCTTCTCGTCTCCCCTCTCCCCTTCTCCGAGGGATGTTCTCGATGGCTTACCCTGGTTCATAACAGCCTCTCTCCCTCTCCTCCAGCCACGGACATGTCTCTCCAGTCTTAAGTTTTCTCTTTGGTTTACTCCATTGCCAGCTTCTTGTTGACCGTCTCTGTCTGCCTCTCCGTTCTGTCCCTCAAGACGCATCGTGAGCAGATCACTCAGCATTTCCCTTTCTCACTCTCCCGTATCTTCTCTCGGGAACGTTCTCACTGCCCTCCTTTTATTCCTCTGTGAGACCCTCGCCAAGCCGGTTCCTGACGGGTGTGGCCTGCGCCCTCAGATGGGAAAGGGCAGGAAAACCCTCGCTTCTCATCCCAGGACTCTGGCTCTGTGTGACTCCGGGGCAGCGCCGTGGCTTCTGTGCCTCCACTTCCTCTTCTGGAAACTCCCGTAGAATGGCAGGAACGCGCAAATGGAGAGACGGGCTCAAGTGTTCAGAGCAGTGCTTGGTACTCAGCAGGGACTTCATAATTGTTTGCTTTAGTAGCTCAGATACCACTGCCTCTAAAATAAGACGGTAAGTATGTCAGTTCTTTGCTCGAGCAACTCTCGGGGCTCCCCCATTGCCTCCTGAAGCGCGAGACCAGTTCTACACGTCGAGAGAGCCGTGTGTGGAGCAGGCGGTCCCCGTCCTGTCGGTAACCATGCAGACCTGGGGCAACGCGCAGTAGGGAAGGTGTGTGAGAAACGCAGCTGCACTTGAGGTGCGACTAGATACTTTTCCAGCCTCAGTTGTATTTCTCTGACTCCCCAGCATGGCCCCGTCCTTACGTTATTCTTCCTTGTGTATCAGGCTCCGGGCCAGACAGGCTCTGCTCCAGATATGCCCCGTGCTAGTCCCCCTTCTGTCTCTTTTGCGCTCTCCTCCAAGAACGGGAGAATAACTCCTTCTGTCTCTCAGGTCTGCCCGGCCCCCAAGGTCCAGCTCAAATACCGCACCCCTTTTGAAGCCTTGTTTGGTCTTTCCTTCTCTCGATTCCCGTAGTGCTATTGGTGACTCTTATCACAA